TAGTCGTGGCAAGACCTGGAGAAGGCCTAAGGCCAATTTCGTCTTGAAAAAGGACCAAAGGAGGGAAGTACTTGAATGGATCCAGACGCTAATGTTCCCTGATGGGTATGCAGCGAATCTAAAGAGGGGAGTGAACTTAGGCACTCTGCGAGTCAACGAGATGAAGGGTCATGACTACCACATATGGATTGAGCGGCTTCTTTTGGCGATGGTTCAAGGCCATGTCCCGGAGCATGTCCGGCAAGTGCTGGCAGAGTTGAGCTACTTATTCCGCCAGCTTTGTGCCAAGAAGCTCTCTTGGACCGTCATTGATGACTTGGAAAAAGCGGCACCCGTGTTGCTCTGTAAGTTGGAGATCTTTCCACCCAGCTGCTTCTTGCCGATGCAGCATTTGATTGTGCACCTCCCGTATGAGGCACGGATGGGGGGCCCGTGCAGGACCGTTGGTGCTATCCAATCGAGAGATGTCTGAAGACTCTTCGCAAAAAATGTAGAAATAAAGCCAAAATTGAGGCTTCCATTGCAGAGGCATACATTCTAGAGGAGGTGTTGAACTTCATAGAGAAATACTACACTGAGAACCTTCCTAGCGTTTATAATCCACCCCCTCGTTACAATGCTGGTGAAAATGAATCGAACCTCAACCTTTTTCAAGGGCAACTCGGAAGCGCAAGTGCATCGACCACTAAGCAATTGAAAAATGAAGAGTGGCGCAGTATCATGCTATATGTGTTGACCAACCTTGTCGAGGTGCAGCCGTTCATTGGGTAAGTTCTGAACGAACTTGTTTCATTTTGCCGTATGTCCTTGTTTCTTCGTCCAACCCCCTTGTTTCTCGTTGGTACAGGGAATTTCTTCGTTAATCCTGGCATGGATCAAGGCAACCTACCCCGCAAGAAAATGATACCCTTCTTTCGCAGGGTGCGGGACCAGAGAGCCCCGATTTCATTTGTTGTTTCAAACAGAAAGCCCAAACTAATGCGCCTATAAGTGACGAGCTGAGACAAGTTGCAAACGGATGTGCCGTTAGGGTCAAGTCATTTACCGTTTATGACGTGAATGGATATCATTTTCACACAGCAAGCTACAAGCAGAGTCGGCCCAATCGAAAAACCACAAACAGCGGAGTTGTTACGCCCGGCACTGATGGACTCGACTATTATGGAAGAATTGAAGAAATCTATGAACTATCATTCTATGGTTCCAAACCTCTTACTCCTGTCATATTCAAATGCCACTGGTTTCATCCTGGAGTAACGAGATGGACCCCTAAGCTTGGGCTAGTCGAGATTCGATAGGATTCCGTCTATCCAGGAAAAGATGTCTACATTGTGGCTCAACAGGCCGTCTAGGTTTATTATACGTCATACGCGTGCAAAGACACCGAGCATCTTAAGGGTTGGTCTATTGTGCACAAGGTATCGCCACACGATAAACTACCTGTCCCAAACGATGAAGATTACAACTTCAACCCAAACACATATGATGGAGAGTTCTATCAAGAAGAGGGGCTACAAGGGAGGTTCGACATAGACTTAACCGAAGAGATAAGAATGGAAGTAGACAATGAAAGGGATGATGATGAGGACGCTAGAGACGAGGTGCGAAATCTGAAGGACATACAAATGCTTGAGCGATTATGTTTAGGCAATGACAATGAAGACAACATTCCTCCTTCGGATAGTGTTGATGAGTTGGACAATGTTGATAGTGATGATGAGACCTATGATCCAGCTAATCTCAATCATGAAGATGATTTCTAATACATGTAATACTATATTTTTTGTAATTATGTTTTGTTCATTTTTGCATATATTTCTAATACATGTATTACTATGTTTTTTGTAATTATGTTTTGTTCATTTTTGCACCTATTTCTAATTACGTCTTGTTTTTTTAATGCAGGTGATTGAACAAAGATGGTGGGCGACCGTCATAGGTCCGTGAACTCGATTTACCAAAGACCACGCTGGCTACAGGACGAGGCGGAGGGGGCGGTGGAGGGATCGGATAGGAGGAGGAGGACCGCCAGCCGTAGGAGGGGGCCATCTCCTCCCACGTCGCGTGTGGAGGAGCTGGAGGAGGAGGTGGTGCCCGTGAACAAGTCGGATGAGGAGCTGGTTTGGTAGACGGACAAGGAGGAGGGGCCGCACGAGGACGACGAGGCGGCAGGCATAGGTTTCGCTTCCTCCGACTCCTCTTCGAGTGTCTACTTGCGAGGTCCCGCGAGCCTCCCACAGGTCCCGCTTCCTCACCAACGCCTAGTGATTCGCCACAATGGGCAAAAGTAAGTAACTTTATATGTTATCACCACTACTTCATATGATATGATGAAAAAAACTAATAATTTTTCTTAATCACTTGTGCAGGAACTGGGTGGTTGTGTCGGGTGGTAGCGCATGGCTAGTCAACAGCATCCAAGGTCTTCTATGCAGGCAACACTTCCCCGGCATTGTCACGTACGCATCGAAGACGGAGCCGGCCTACTCGTTTGAACACTACGTCGTCGCCCTCGATGCGGAGTACCCCAACAAGGCGGCGCGGGTGAAGACAGAGTTTTGGCTAAGTCTCCCTCGCACAACATTGCTCAATACGTCACATTCATTGGACTTTTCTTGAAATAATGAATGGATACATCGCTTTTGTATGCAGACTTATTACAGATGCGAGGAGAGATTTGAGGCCAGGGCGGAGCAGGTGACTACCAAAGTCTGTAAATAACTCATCACCGACATGCATCACGAGGTGCACATCTAGGCCATCGTAACCTACTACGGGTCGAAGCTTGGAGAGAGGAAAACCAAGAAAGACGCAAGAGAGATGCAGCTGACCCGGGAGCAGTACCTTGAGGTAAATGAAGAACATCAATATTGATTCATTTTGAGATTAAGTTGGTTTAATTTGATCTTCTTATATGTCCAATACTTGATGACGTGTAGATGATTCCCTAGTGGTGCCAAGTGTATCCTGAGTGCTGGGTGATGATGGTGGAGAGGTGGTTCACGGAGGAGTACCTCAAGATGCACCGGGATGCTCGGGACCGTCGTTTGCAGATGCAAGGTCCAACACACCATCAAGGCAGACGCAGCCTCGTCGGATACAAACAAGCATGGGTACGCGAATTCATTTATCTATTGTGACGCTCAGTTCTGCCTGATTTCTAATCATCGTGCTGTCTTTCTCGCAGTTGGCGTCACATAGTGGCCAGGCTTGCTCGGACTTCCAGGCATGGTGTATGGCCCACAAGGGCAAGGCGACGTCCGACGTCTCCTTCAACCTAGAGGACCCGCCCGATGCATACACGAACCCGAGCGTCTACTCCCGCATCAGTGAGTACACTGAGGTGGCGAGATCACTCCATGGGCCAGACCACGATCCGAGCACCCAGGACTTCGATGGAGAGGTCGTCATGAGGGCGGGGCAAGGCAAGAAGCATGGACGGTTCTGGCTTGGCGACGGCGTCATCGACACGGCCTCTACTCCCTCTCTCTCCCAGATCCGAGCACGGAGCACGAGCGAGAGCCCGGCCATTCGCACACGGCCGATCGCTGCACAGCACCGGGTCAACGCAGTCGAGGTTATTCCTGTTTTACTCGTCATACATTGATCTTTACACACCTTAATTAGCTTTGCATTACTGAAACATTGGAGTGAAATATTGCAGGCCCGGCTGGAACAAGAAATGAGGCAACGTCAGGAGCTGGAGTCCGGGCAGCAGAGAATGGCGGCCCAGCTGGAGGCCGAGCGGGCCGAGCGGCAGGCCCAGGCCCAGAGGCTGACAGACATTACGGAGTTCCTACAAGGTCTTGGGCAACGTGTGGGCTTCTCTCTGCCAGCTGGGCTGTTGGTTCCACCTCCGCCTCCGCCTCCGCGTCCTGCAGCTGCAGCTACTCCCATGAGTATGAAAGTTTTTTACTTTTGCTTGTGCTTTGCTTGTATGGCCTCTACCTTCCTAGATTAGCTATCCAAATAATCTTGTCTCACATGTAATCTTTTTTCCTTTGTGCAGTCTCCATCTGACGGTGGTTCGAATAATCCACCTGATGCACCTCCGAATGATGGAGCTGGGCCTTCACCACAGTTGCAGTGGCCGAGACGAGTGCACGTTGTATTTTTTTCATTTGTTGTTCACTTGGTGATGGACTTGTGATATACTTGTGATGCACTTGTGGACTTTGATGGACTTGTGATGGACTTGTGGATTTATTTGGATGGACTTGAGCACTTATTATTATATATGTGATATATATTGTGATGGATGTGATATGTGCGGATGGATGTGTGGATGGATGAGATATATATGTGATGGATGATATATATATATATGTGATATATGTTTGTATGAATTTATTTGTCACGATGGAATGTAAAAAAAAATTACCGTTTTGGGTCACTTTGCCGATTGTTGCACTCGGCAAAGGACCCCGTTGCCGAGTGCCAGCACATTTTTCCAGCTTTGCCGAGTGCTGTGACCATGATACTCGACAAAAAAAAATTTTTAAAAATTCAAACTTTGCCGAGTGCCGGCCAGAGGGCACTCGGCAAATATTTTTTTTAAAAAAATCAAACTTTGCCAAGCACCGGCCAGGGGGCACTCGGCAAAACAATTTTTAGAAAAAAACATATTTGCCAAGGGCCAGATAGAGGGCACTTGGTAAAGAAATTTTTTAAAAAAAATAAAAAATCTTTGCCGAGTGCCTGCAGGGTTGGCACTCAGCAAAGCGACCGTCAACGGGGCCGGCGCCGTGACGGTCGCTTTTCTTTGCCGAGTGCCCAGGGCTCTCGACAAAGCCTTTGCCGAGTGCCCGATAAAAAACACTCGGCAAAGAGGGCTTTGCCGATCAATTTTTTGCCGTGTGTTTTTTGCCGAGTGCCGCACCCGGCAAAGGCTTTGACGAGTGCAATTTGGCCTTTGCCGAGTGCCTTAAGAACCTGAATCCAGTAGTCAGTCCCGTGGCCTCGCCTTCATGGTGGTAACAGTCGCCCGTCCAATTATGTACTATGTTGTGCGGCTGGCGCTCGATGGTGCCCTGGCTCAGCTGTGAACCACGGTCGCCCTGGCGGTAGGGTTGGCCGAAGAATATTTCCTTCGTCCTGGCCCCTGAGATCATCTGATGTAGACACACACACACACACTTAAATATATTTGTATTAACAAGAGAGTAATTATCAATTACGTCTAACTTAACTCGATCGAGTGTGCTAGCTATTATATTAGGAGTGATATGTATGAGTTTGAGTGATATTATTGTGTACAAGTAGCTAATATATAAAATACTCACCTGACGGTACATGATCTTGAGATTCTTTGCGATTTGCCTATGATTGTTATTATCGACTGTTGCTTCGGTATACGGCCTATCATTGTAGTCGAGGTCCACCAGCGGGAATGGAGGCTGCGCGTGCCCAGGTTCGCGCTTTTCATCATACAGCGGCGATGACGTGTCGGCGTAGATCAACGGCAGACGCATGCCTTCGGGCGCATCCCAGTTCCAGAACGGCAGTGCAAACGTGTCGTCACAGATGAGCTTGCCGAGAATCCTCTCGTGGAAATACAGGTACAACCTGCGCCCGGCCATTTGTCAATTGAGAACTAAGTGCAACAACGTTCGCGTTTCGAGCACATATATAATTAACTAATAACCATGCATACGATCCAACATTATGCATGGTCACATGCATAAAACTGTGTACATATATATCTACACTAGCTAACCATTAACTGCACATGGCTGGATGCGGGCATGTCGTATCGTATGTACCTGTGCCACAGGAAGAAGAGCCAGCAGTGGTGTATCTGGATCTTCAGGACCGAGGACCCGACCTGATTATACGCGCCGTCGCAGTAGGCGCAGTGCACGCGCCACTGCTGCTCGAAGCTGCAGGGATCGTGGTGCGGCAGCCCCTTCATCAACCTCACGGCTTCCTTGTATTTTTCCAGGTACTCCGGGTCGTCCATTATCTCTTGCGCGGGCCGGCGCACACGGAGCGGCGAGCCGGCCGACGGCAGCTTGAAGTCGATTATTTTCGTGCCCGTGCTGAACGGCGGGCAGCAGTCGATGGGTTCATCCGCATTGTCGCGGTGGGCAGGATGGCAGTTTCGGAGGTCTGGCAACTGGATCGGGGTGGCGAGCGCGCTTCCGCGGTGATGAGGCACGAGGCCTGCCGCCGCCGCCGCTCCACCGAGGAGCACGTCACGGCGGTCGACTCTGTCGCCTGTGGCCTTGCACGAGAGGTGCCATGGTTTCCTCGCGTTCTTGCTTCGGAGGAGGATGTGATTGCACCTATGTGTGTCTGGAAGCTGCATGGCATGCGATGTGTGACGACACCTCGTGGCATTGTAGAGCCCTCAGTTTGCTCTGGTCAAGGTGAACCTGATCAGTACCGTGCCATGGTTTAGGGGTATATATAAGGCCATCTCCAACAGTATAAAAAAAATACTACCAAAAACAGGTTTTCCAACATTTACAAAATATATTGGAAAGTCATAAAAAAGCTACAACTCCAACGGTTTCCAAAATATCATGCCTAAAAGATAGAAGCTAATTTTACATCAGGAATCCTAAACTATTTCTAAATCACATTAACAACCTCTATACTTTATTTCTCTCTTGTACATTTACATCAGGAACATGTCCTACCGTTTTTTCTTCCCCACATCCTTCCACCTCCATATTGGCGCGATGATACGCGCGCGTAACTTGGTTTTTTCCAAGTGCCAAAAGATTGGGAGGTGGGTTTAGGAGTTGGTAGAGATGAGTTTTTTTCAATCTTGCCAAAATTCTTGGTCTGGGAGATTGTTTTGGGTACTCTCGGAGATGCTATAAGAGAAAATTCTTTATTTGAAGCTGTGAAAGTTGCCTCTTCCTTCCTTGGTTCCCCAAAGTTAAAAATTCCCTATATGACACTATCTCCAAGTTTGGTTCCCTATATGACACTGCCATCTCTTTTAAGCACTAACTGTGTCAAGTGAATGGTGAAAAGACCATTTTACCCTCAGAATGAACAAAGCTACCTGTACCATAGCAGGCCCACTTTGCCGTGTATATTTCATAATTAAACAGGTTGTTAACACATACCTATGATTAAGCAAACCACAATAATGGAGGATTAAACAAGGACAAGCAAATCTTTTCTGACTTGGCAATGAGAACTTACATATGGTAAGCATGGCTGCTGGTGCAAACATCGATCTAGTTGCCAATGTATCTTGTTGAATTCTGAGCTTTGTAATCTGGTTGACCACCTATGCTGGTGATGTGAACTATATGATGTTATCTTTGAGCATGATTGTCGGTTTCACATTCTATTACCACAAATGCTTATATTACTGCCCGAAATATCCTTGAGGATGACATGAAAAACTGTCGGTTCAAAACGACGGGAAATAACTCAATTTCTCTGGTGGTGGTTATTATTTTTTCTCTCTATTTCCTACTGTCAGGGACATGGTTAATAACTGTGATGGGGAAACAATGGGGAAATGACATATTTCCCTGTCTCGCATTGCACAAGAGACAAATAATTATTCTGACGGTTCATGACGTTTTTCCAAAACCTGACGAGCTACAATTCCCCTGGGAGGTTAACGTAAAAAATACCCGACAGAGAAATTAATTCTGTCGGGAAACTAACAGGCAATTTTTTTCTTTGTCATTCTATCCCTGACGGGATTTGATTGTCGGTTGTCCGATAGAAGTAATATTTCTGACAGGTTGTTGCTATTTTCCTGACGGGTTCCGGCACACAGGGAAAAAGTGGTGTCCAGTAACAGCTCATCAAATTATATAATAATTGAGCTATTTCTGACCATGCTATCGTGCAATTAATATGGGACAAGCAGTGCTTATACTATAGAGGCAGCAAGGACGTGGCACATGAGAAACACGACGAGAAACATCAACCTTATTGAGCATCTGATGGAACTTAATGCATGTTGTCCTAGCTAGCCCTAATGTGTGAGCTTTTCTTGCCGCATAATAATAATAAATCATCATATCTGCGAATGTATTAGTAGCTTGATGGAGTGGCCATTCGTTTCAGCACCCAACCCTTGTGTCTGAGCCCTTCTCATCCCAGATTTCAATAGGGGGGCGTCCAGCATGTATGAACATATATATAATGTACATCGATAAAGAGGCATAAACCAAAGAAAACTTCATATCCTATGCCTTGCTAGGACCGTGACAGCTAGTCAAATTTCTAGAACTTCTTCGTTCAGAAATTTCTATGCCGTAAAATGTGGGTGATTAAAAATAAAAAGTATAAAGGATAATGTGTCAATAGCCATGTAGTTTATTTTAGAACTGCTCTCGTAGAAGTCTAAAGTATCTGCACATTATTAGCACAAATTTATTAATAAAAATAATATTCAAAACTACATAGGTGTTCTGGGCTTACAACATGTCCATGTGCGTGCAGTTGTTGAGTTGGTTTTGTGAATGTGTTTGTGTTAGTGTTTTGTCGTTGGAACTAAGATGAGGTGAACCTGGATAAAAGGAATTAATGCATATTGTGGTTGTGAGCAGCACTATTCATCATTATGAGAATTATATAGCCCCTCCACTGGTGTGTTGAGAACTACTCTGATCCCTCTCTTCCAATTTATAAGTTGTTTTGACTTTTTTGTTACATCCATTTTGCTATATATTTAGATATAACGTATGTCTAGATACATAGCAAAATGAATGTATCAAAAAAGTTAAAGCAACTTATAATTTGGAACGGAGAAAGTACTTTTTAGTTGTAGCATCTTTATAGAAAAATAACGAATGTATACTTTTATAAACTTCGTTTGAAGAGAAATTTACTAATATGTTTTTGAACGTCTAAATCAATACGTACAAAGTAATTTGGTTGTTTTCATCGTGTTAAAGAAACTCTACTATAAGAAAACATTGTATGTTATGTTTGGTAGGACTACAACATATCAACAAATTATTCTTTAATTTAAAATTACAATCGTGTTTCTCGCTCCAACTGCAGAACAAAAAATACTATATGACTTAATTGTGCAATACTACTTGTGTTTAGTGGTGTTACTTGTTTTCACTATTGGACAGGTAAACATAATCATCATACGGTTGGGTAGGCACGGACTATAACAGCTCATCAAATTATCTAATAATGAGATATTTCCGACCATGCTGTCGGGTTTTTAATATGGGACAAGGAATGCTCGTACTGTACAGCTAGCAAGGACGTGGAACATGAGAAACATCTACATTAATGAGCGTCTGATGGAACTTAATGCAAGTGGTCCTAGCTAGCGCTAATGTATGAGCATTTCTTGTCCCATCATAAAACATCGTATCTGCGAACTGTTGCATTGAACCATGCTCACCCCAGATTACACGTAGGAGGCGTTCAGCATGCATTAACATATACTCCCTCCGTTACAAATTAGAAGTCGTTTTGACTTTTTTAGTACATCTATTTTACTATGTATCTAAATATAATAACATGTCTAGATACATGACAAAATGGATGAACCAAAAAAATCAAAGCGACTTATAATTTGGAACGGAGGGAGTATACAATGTACACTGAATAATGAGACATGCACTAGTACAAAAAGATTTGTAGCAACGCCTCCTTTTTTTAGGGGCGGCTTAATCAAAAAACAGCCCCTACAAATGGTTCCCAAACGAGCCGCCCCTACAAATCCATTCGTAGGGCCTGCTGGTATTATGAGCCGTTCCTACAAATAGCCCTACTTGTAAGAGTCGTTCTAGATCCAGCCGCCCCTACAAATCTAATTTGTAGGAGCGGCTGGATCTAGAGACGCCCCTACAAATGGATGACGAATAGTAAAAATTACGTATTGAAATTTGAATTTTCCAAACATTCTCGGATGAAGAAGTGACCTAAATAAAATTTGTAAATCTCGAAAAGTTATACAACTTTGTAGTTGAAAACTTTTTTATTTGAAACATCTTGTTAAGGAAAACTACGTTTGAATTTCTCAAATTTGAAATTCGAATCTTTCAAACGACCTCGGATGGAGAAATAGCAAAAACAAAAGTTGTAGATCTCAAAAAATTATACAATTTTGTAGTTGACAACTTTTTTATTTGAAATCGTCTAGCTAAGGATAACTATGTTTGAACCTTTAAAATTTAAAATTTGAATTTTTCAAACATCCTCGGATGGAGAAACAGCAAAAACGAAAGTTATAGAACCGACAAAGTTATATAACTTTGTAGTTGACAACTTTTTTATTTGAAATCATCTTGTGAAGGAAAACTACGTTTGAATTTCTCACATTTGAAATTTGAATTTTTTAAACGTTCTCGGATGGAGAAACAACAAAAACGAAAATTGTAGATCTCGAAAAGTTATACAACTTTGTAGTTGACGACATTTGAATTTGTTTAGAGCCCCAAACACTCAATTAAATTTAGTTGAGCATAATATGAGGAGAAAGAATATCTAATATAGGCACCAGTGAGTATGGGGTGGAGTGGTTAGAGGGAGTAACGCGGAAGGCTGAGGTCGCGGGTTCGAACCCCAGCAGCCGTGAAGCACGCGTTGCGAAAAATGCGTGACTTGCGGCTTCCGTCGGCGTGGGCGTGAGGCTGCCTGGTGGGACCTTCTGGGATGAAAAATAGAATTTTGCTATTTTTTTGCCTGAATTTAAGGTTCCTGGAAAACAGATTTGTAGGGACGGTTCTATATCTAGCCGCCCCTACAAATACTCATCCACCCCTACAAAACCGATTTGTAGGGGCGGCTAGCCAACCGTCCTTACAAATCGTTGATTTATTAAGACGGTTGAGTAGGGGTGGCTGGCCCAATCGCCCCTACAGAGGGTCAGGAACCGCCACTACAAATCCCCTTGGTAGTAGTGATAAATAAAAGAGAACTTCATATCCTATGCCTTGCCAAGATCACAACAGCTTATCTAATTTATGGTACTTCTTCGTTCTGGAAATTTGTACACCGTAAAACATTCTAAATTAGTTTCAGAATGATATCTTTACAATAAGCGTTGGTGATTGGAAATAAAAAATATAAAAGATATTACGTGAAAATTGTACGACCATGTACTTTATTCTTAGAACCGCTTCCATAGAAGTCTAGAGTATTTACACATTATTAGCACAAATTTATAAAAAAATAAAAATCAAAACTACATGTCAAAAACTCGAAACCATGACTCTGTTGCCACCTACGCAACAATATGTACGTGACTCACACTATGTAAAAAAAGAGTTTGTAGCAACGGGACATTTTTTCTTTAGGGGCGGCCGGCATTGGAGCCGTCCTTACAGTGACGTGTTCGGGCTCCAGCATAGCAGCTGTCCCTACAAATAACACAGTAGGGGTGATTGGTAATACGAGCCGCCCCTACAAATGCGTCGATTTGTAGGGGCTGGTATTACCAGCCGCCCCTGCTGTGTCCATTTGTAGGGGCGGTGGAATCATCGACCGCCCCTACAAATGCCCGTTGTATATATATCGGCCGGAAAATTCTCTCCCCCCCCTCTCTCTCTCTCTCTCCTCTTCGCTCCCTCTCTCCCTCGACGCGGACAGGGCGATGGCGGCGCCTGGTGCGAGCGGGCGCGGCGGCTGCGGCCGCCTTTCTCCACCTTCTCCCCCATCGTACCATTTCCTTTCTCGGCTCCTCCCCTCTTTGCCCGAGTCGCTAGCCTCCTCCCTGACCCGCCTCCTCCCGTCCTCGCCGTGGACCGCTTCCTCCACCTCCGCTTCCACAGCAGCCGAGCGAGGTCAACTCTTCCACCGGTGGAGAGAGAGCGAGGGCGGGAGCGGGGAAGAGACGGGAGGGCCCCGAATCTGAGCCGAGCTGCGCTCTCCGTGCGCCCGTCACCGCCCACCGCCCACCGCCCAGGTCTTGTCGCCCCGCGCAAATCTGCTGCTGCTCCTGAGGTAAATCGTCGATTGCTTGAACCGTACCCAGTAGATCTGGTATCTCCTCCTCCCCATCCCCTTTTCATGCGATGCAACTCAGGCGCCTCCCCATCGGAACCCTAATCCTCTCTTTCCCTACTCGCGGAAGCCACCACCACCGGCAGGGAAAGCGGAAGGGAAGCACCTCGGCCCCGGCAAGATGGTGCTCGCACAGCTGGGCGGGATCTCGCCACGGTGATCGATGAGAAGGTGCTCAACGACTGCCTCAACGAGATCTCACGCGCTCTCCTACAGGCTGATGTCCAGTTCAAGATGGTCCGCGACATGCAGGCCAACATCAAGCGCATCGTCAACCTCGAGGCGCTTGCCGCAGACACCAACAAGCGCCGCATCATGCAGCAGGTAAGGGGCGTACTGGTTCGTCGCCTCATCTGCGCAATCCGCGCCCAATCCGTCAAGAGCTTCGAGGGATTTCTGTGTAATTTGGGGTTAATCTGTTCATCCCGTTGATTGCGTTAATTGATCTCTGTTGTTATTGCTATAGGCTGTCTTCACGGAACTCTGCAACATGCTAGATCCCGAGAAGCCTTCTTTCACTCCCAAAAAGGGCAAGCCAAGCGTAGTCATGTTCGTTGGTCTGCAAGGTCAGTCTTCCTGCGCTACGTTATGTCTCATGCTATGGTAGCTGCACATTTGCTCGAGTGACGTTTGGCAGATGGTTTTCTTTGTTCAAGAAGATCCTGAATTATTAAAACTTGATTTATTACGATCTAGCCTAATTTGATATGTTTTTGACTTTGTCCATTCTTTTTTCTTATACAATAAACAGGCCACTCCCCTGCAACGATATTAATTTAAATGAAACCGTTCAAATCATTTTAGAGCTCATAATGATGTCCACAGTGAGATTTATTACCTCCAGTAATCCAACTCATAAACTTCAATCACTTAAGCTCTTACATATATTAGTAATTTTTTTCTTGAACACACAAGAGACCTGTGTATAATTATATTATAAGAAAAAAAGGAGGAAGGGATCTTACAAACACATAAATCACACACACCCAGATCAGGAATTTAAAACATTCGTGCCTTTGTACAAAGAGAACTCCACCACGACCATGACCAAATATCAACCTACAAGTTGGCACAAGCCACAAGGGCTGTGAGGTAAGAAATTCCTTGAAGCCAGCCAGCATCCATAGATGAAGATCCACACTAGCAAAGTAGCAAGTAGAATCATTTTGCTTGAGTACATACATCTTAAAGTCCAAGGTTTAGTTGAACATATGGGCTGTTTGAAATTTGAAAAACAGAAAGATGGATGGCTGTGAATCTATGATGTGTGAGACATAATGATAAAACATCACATATCTTCATTTTGGCTAAGCTTCATTGCACAGCAAGTGGTGCTGGGAGCGTAACTGATGTAGTAGACCTATCTAATATCTATGGCATACACAAAGATTGGCCAGATCCTAAATTTAACTATGATGGGACAATTCCTGTTTTTGTCCCCAGCATGTTTGTCATTCTTCTCACAAGATAACATCATTTTTGTGCAGGTTCTGGTAAAACTACCACTTGCACAAAATATGCTTATTATCATCAGAGGAAAGGATTCAAACCAGCGCTGGTTTGTGCTGATACATTTAGGGCTGGTGCTTTTGACCAGTTAAAGCAAAATGCAACGAAGGCCAAGATTCCCTTTTACCGAAGGTGCTATAACGCTCAGCGTGAGTTTGTTATCCATATTATTATCTCTGTATTCTAACAGTCACTTTGCAGCTACATGGAATCTGATCCAGTAAAATTTGCTGTTGAGGGTGTGGAGAGGTTCAAGAAAGAAAACTGTGATCTCATCATTGTGGATACAAGTGGAAGGCACAAACAAGAAGCAGCACTCTTTGAAGAAATGCGGCAAGTTTCGGAAGCAACAGTATGTGCACTTGAAATTCGCAAATAAATTCTGGCTTTCACAAAAATTTGTTTGCTTTTTGTATTCTTGATTCTCTTGCTCTAACCATTGGAGTTTTTTTCCACATGTAGGTCTTACATGATTCAGCTTCGAATTAGACACATTTACAGAAATAAATATTCTAATTACTGCATCATAGATGATTGAATAGATTCACCTTTCCATGTAGGCTATAATCCGATTTGCTATTTGGATTCAATTGGTTTACTTTTCATTTTCTTAATTCTCTTGCTCCAACCATTGGTGTTATTTTTTTTCACGTGTAGGCCTTACATGATTTAGTTTCAAATTAGACACAATTACGGATATAATTACTGCATCATAGATGATTGAATAGGTTTAACTGAATCCATTGGGTTTCCTTTGTAGCTATCTTTCCTCAGAATTATTGGTCTGCTGCTGTCTTCACTCAGCCTGAATGAAGGAAAGGAGTCCATTATCAAGATGAACATGATCGTTACCACCAACGAGGATCCAGACAAGGTGAGAATTTGAACTCTCTTCAGTTTTGAGTTTTCATGCCAGCCTATTCAGGCCACGTTGACAAGATTTATGTCTGGCACTGCACAACTAAATAGTTGTGACCACTTCTTCCATATATGAAAACCCTCTTCATGAAGCTCTGTTAAGTCTTCTTGGTGTCAAAGCACGAATCGGCGTGCTAGGTTTCATAATAGTTCTGTTAACAGCTAGGAATATAAGTCATGATGGAGTTGTGTATTGTCATGGAATATTTGTTATAATCTGGTATAAATAAATGTGTATTGTCATTGAGTTTCAGTACAATCGCAGAAGAAGATAAGTCATGATGGAGTTGTGCATGAAAAATATATGTTCTGATTGAATTTGAATTGTAAATTTAATTTTTTTTTTTGCGAAAAAATGCACTGTAGGGGCGGTTGGTACTGTAGCCGCCCCTACAAATAGATATTATAGGGGTGGCTGGTACTGTAGCCTCCCCTACAAATCGATTTTGTAGAGGCGGCTGGTGTTAACAGCCGCCCCTACAAATCGATTTGTAAGGGCGGTCTGGGAACCGCCCCTACAAATGCATGATTTGTAGAGACGGTTTGATAGGGGCGGCTGGCCGAGCCGCCTCTACAAACCATCGCCAGCCGCCCCTACAAATGCTTTTTGTAGTAGTGTCATAGCTATTATAGGCTTACAACCCGTCCATGTGCGTGCGGTTCCTGAGGTGGTTTTTGAATGTGGATGTGTTAGGGTTTTGTCAGTGGAACTAAGATAAGGTGAACCAGGGTAAACAGAATTAGTGCATATTGTGGTTGTGAGCAGCTTTATTCGTCATTACGGTAGTTATATAGTCCCTCCAATCATAAATAAAAATGTTAAATATGGTCTTCAAAAACATATGTTGACAATTACTTTTATAGTTGTATCATCCTTATAGAAAAATAATGAATGTATACTTTTACCAACTTCTTATGAAGAGAAATTTACTCATATATTTTTAAACATCTAAGTCAATGCGTACAAAGTAATCTGGTTGTTTTTATTATGTTAATCAAATTCTACTGTAAAAAACATTGTATATATATTCTGTTTGGTAGGACCAGAACATCTCAACAAATTATTCTTTAACTTTAAATTCCTGTCAAGTTTCTTGCTCCCAGTGAAGAACAAAAAATACTATTTGGCTTAATTGTGCAATACTATTGATGTTAAGTCATGTTACTTGTTTTTCACTATAGAACAAGTAAACATATACGGTTGGGCTGGCATGGACTATAACAGCTCATCAAATTATCTAATAATTCATATCTCGGGACAGGCTATTGTGTTTTTAATACGGGACAGGCAATGCTCACACGTTAGGGTCACCAAGGACATGTAAGATGAGAAACATAACGAGAAACATCTATGTTAATGACTGTCTGATGGAACTTAATGCGAGTGGTCCTAACTAGCCCTAACGTATTCTTGTCCCATTGTAAAACATCATAGCTGTGAATCGTGTTGGTAGCTTGATGGTGCAGCAATTTGGTTTTGCACCTAACCCTTGCGTGTCAGCTCTGCTCACCCAAGATTTCACATTGGAGGCGTTTAGCATGCTTGAACATATATACAATGTACACCCAATAAATGGACATAAACGAAAGGAAACTTCATATCCTATGCCTTGCTAGGATCATCACAGCTAATCAAACTTCTAGGACTTCTTCGTTTAGAAATACCTATGCCGTAAAACATTCTAATTAAATTAGTTTAAGAATGATATCTTTACAATAAGTGTTCATGATTAAAACTAAAAATTATTAAAAGATATTTTGTGAAATTGTATAACCATGTAGTTTATTTTTAGAACTGCTTTCATAGAAGTCTAGAGTATCTGCATATTATTAGCACAAATTTATCAGTAAAAATAATAATTGAAACTACTTGTCAAAAACTCAAAACCACGGGCCTCCTGCCACTGCGTAACAATATGTACCCGACTCATAGCTGTTACAGGCTTACAACACGTCCATTTACGCAGATGGTGATGAGGTTTTGTGAAGTGGATGTGTTAGTGTTTCGGTGGAACTAAGATTAGGTGAACTTAGACAAATGGAACTAATTTATATTGTGGTTGTGAGCAGCACTATTCATCATTATGGTAATTATATAGCCCCTCTGTCGCAGGTTCGTTGCCGCGGCAAACATCGTTGTTCGTCGCATGTCAGAAGTGCGGGTCTCCGGTGGCTCGGGTGGACTCAAGAACACAAGAGAAGACATGGCGATGTATCCTGGTTCGGGCTATCGAGGTCCTACGTCCAGCAGTGGGTAGTTCTTCGTATTCAAGAGCACCCAAATTGGGGGTTTACAACGAAGGAGAAAGAGATTTGGCTGGGGATCGCTCGGTGCTATCCTACGGCTCGTCGGCGATGAGGTTTCTTCCCCAGCGAGATTTGGCATGGGATTTCTCTGGTCGAATCTGTAGTAGTTTAGGGAAACACTCCTCTCTCTTGCTGAGTTGCCAAGGGAGGAACGCTCGGCTGTTCCTCTCGGTTGCTTGGTGTTCGGCTAAACTCGGATTGCTCAGCCCCCCTCCTATGGGTGCCGACCTTCCCCTTATATTTCGAGGAAGGTCGGGTACAAGGCGGTTTGGGGGCTACAATCTATGGTTTTCGTGCGCCGGGGTCCAGGAAGCACTACCGGAGACTGTGTATTTACCGAGTGCTCCGAAAATTACCGAGTGTGAAAAGTCGGGGCACTCGGAAAACATTATTTACCGAGTGCCAACACTCGGAAAACATAAACACCCGGTAATAAACCTCTTTACCGAGTCAGCACACTCGGTATATTCAGACACTCGGTAAAACTACAAGTTTACCGACGGGGTGCACTCGGTAAAAATGGTCACTCGGTATTAACGTGCCACGTCAAATAGGACAGCAACCGTGACCAGACGGCGTCTGGGCATGACATGTTTACCGAGTGTTATGATCATACACTCGGCAAACATGAAACTTTTACCGAGTGTTGGGCCAATACACTCGGTAAACACTATATTTTACCGAGTGTATTGGCCCAACACTCGGTAAAATTCAACCAAATTTCTTGTTTTTCCCTTCATTCTTTTTCCTCTATCCACATATGGTATTTAGTACTCCATTCCAAAATATGGTGTTTATTTCAATTTATTTACTATATTTCACAAAAGTTTCATTCTTTATGAAAATTAGGAACATATCGTGTGAATTTAATTGTAATAATTAAAATCGAACTTGATAAATCACAAGATTGGAAGAATTAACATTGAAGCATACATCTATGTTATAGAAAAAATTTCGTAACGTTTTGGAAGTATTTTTACATTCGTCGTTGCCGAACCGGTACATCTCCCAAAGAGATGCTAAACATTCACAATGACGAGTAGGATTTCTATTAAGAGTGAAATTCAACAATATGATTTGAACTTGGAATTTTTTAGATAGTAAATAGATGACATGAAATAGTTCGTGTGAAAGTTTGGTGAATTTTAGGATTAAATTGGCATTTTTTCTTTTTTGTTTTGCATGAAATAATGGATACAGTTACCGAGTGTGACCTGAAACACTCGGTAAAGGTTAGCCACGGCCCACTTCTACCACGGTTGCTTCTGTTTACCGAGTGCCGTAGATATGGGCACTCGGTAATGTACCAGGCTTATGTTTACCGAGTGCCGTAGATCTGGGCACTCGGTAAACATGTACCTATACATGTCATTGGGCTGCGGTACTTGAGTTTACCGAGTGCCGTACATCTAGGCACACTGCAAATGTGAAACATTCAACACAGCCGTTTCTCCTCAAATCGTGCATGACGCGCACACACACACACACACCGCCTCCCCACCGCATGCCCGCTGGCCTCCTCCCTCCACCACCGCCGCCGCCGGGCGGTCCCCACAGCCTGCCGCCACCGGAGAGACGGAGAGAGAGAGATGATGCACACCGGGCGCACCGGACGACGATCCCCTCCGCCGACGCCGCCCCGTGCTCCCTCCTTCGCTCCTGTTCCCGTGAGGTGGGGTGGGGTGGGCCCCAGCAGCAACGGCGACGGCGAGCACTCTCTCCCCTCCACCACCGCCGCCACCGGGGGAGGGCGGTCACCCGCCGCCACCGCGGGACTGCCGCCGCCGCGGCCGCCTCCTCCCCTCCAAGCTCCGGACCTGCTCATCTGTTGACTGAATTAGGTAACACACCACTGCTCCCATGCATCCGCTTGGCATTACAAAACTAGACAGCACAGCTTCATCACATCAAAGGGCTTATTCTCTTGATTTGGATTTATTTTACCACCCTTTATTGTCGTCCCCATTATCTGGAAGCAACACAACCTAGTCCACTACTCCATCAGTTTATTCTAGTGCTGGCTAGCTGCTGGCTTAGGACATGGGTCATTGGGTCCTGCCTGCTTTGTGCCTTCAAAGAAATCTGAGTGCTCTCTCTGCACCGAGCTCCCTGTGAAATCTCTGCCCTTGAAAATTGTTGAACTATCACAATGAAAATAATCAGTTGAACAAAGTGAATCTCTTGGTAGAGCTGGAAATGGGCTAGACCGTACATGGTTGTATCAATAACTATTTAAGCACCAAGATCAAATTAAGTTTATTCATGTTCGGCCTTTACGGATGAATAGGAAGAACTCGAATAGGAGGAGCATGTAAACCTGAAATGTTTCTTTTCGTGGACAGACCCCCACCACAAGCAAATTCTCTGTGCGCATAAAACCTGATGTGGGGCACTGAATATTAGCGCACATTAGACTTTGATGTGGGCAAAACTCTAACAAGATGACCTGATAGGTACCCAAAATATCCTCCCAGTACTATTGTGAGTTTGACAACAATAAAGGACCACTTTGCCACTGAACTTTCATTTCCATTGTTCATAAGGATGCACTCATGAAAAGACCACATGAAAGTGTCCTAGATAGTGAGAAACAGCTCTATCTTAACAGTACAACTACAGTTAAGCTGTGCCAACAATCAGTACTGTAAAACCTGACAATTC